GGGAGGGAGGGAGGGAGGGGAGGGGAAGGAGGGAGTCAGGGTTTCAGGTTTTTCCGCCAAGGTTCAGGGTTTTGAGTTTTGGCGTAGAGCTTAGGCTTCACCAGCAGTAAGGAAGATATTCCATAATTCCCTAGAAGGTCCTTAAGGTAATGCCGGATCCAGAATGGAAAATATGCCAGACAGGAATTCCCACGATCCCATGCGGCAAAGGTATAGGACATCAACATGGTTCAGGCCAAACTCTGCTACTTACTTACAGCCAATAAGGATCCTCTTGTTTCCAATGGGTTGGGACTGACAAGCATCCTGAGCTGAGCGGATACCATTGCACTGGTCCACTACAGAAGGACTTTGGGTTTGCGTCACGGCATGATCTAGCCCCTCAGTGCATCAAGTTTCCGGAATTCGGTACTGAGCCGCACAAGGAATCGCAACAGCCCGCATCCACCCTAAGCCTAAACCCTCAACCTAAGCTGCAAACAACTTGACCTGAACCCTCAACCAGCCAAGCCCGAAAACTTCACAGTCCTGTACCCAGAAAACCCCCCCCCCCCGGGCAGAAACAGGGCAGGGCGGGTTTTGTCTTTTTCGGGGATGGGGGACAGGGTTTACCGTAGTATCAAGATCCTGGTCTTGATGAACTAGAAGCAGAAGAGCACGCAGAACAGCGAAACGGTTGCAGTAGTCACAGCTACATCCGTTGGTTCAGGGTGTAGGGCTTAGGGTCTAGGGTTTAGGCCCCTGGAATTCCACACTTCGGACGCCCTTCTCGCCATGGGACGGCAAATCTCCGCGCAGAGTCGGCGGCGAGTGTCCAAGCTCCGCCAGGCGCGAAAGATAGGGTCTCCTGAACCAGAAATCTATCAGACCTTCCCCAATGTTGCAAAGCTAACCGGGTTGCATTACATTTTGGATGATCTTAAGTTAAACATGAAAAACCGCTAGAAGCAGACAGAGCTAAGCTCCTTCATTAGCTTTCACCCCTAAGCTTTCACACAATACCTCAGGCCCGTCCAATCTCAAGAGGCCCCGAAAGCCGCATGACCCCGAAAACCAAGAGCATAAACTCTGAAACCCTACTATTACGAAGCCTCCCAAGAAACCTATCCTTTTAAAGTCTTCATCAGAACCCTCAGAACCCTTCTGTCCTCAACAACGGGATTTTGGGCACAAACTTACAAGACAAGCATAGAGTAACTATAAGGAGAACACAAGTACAGAGGAGCTGTAAAGAGATAATGCTAGTACAGACTACAGAAAATATAGAGGGACTATAAGGAGATATTGCTACTGCGCAGTCAAAAAGCACTCCTCCCTTTCCCTGACACCTC